ACTTTAAAATCTATCGATTTATTTTATCACTCACTTGAAATGTTGATCCTTTTCACCTGACACCATGTATCAAATAAATAGATGAATCTTCTATGAATTATTTATTTATACTTTAGTATTACAAAAGGAATCGCTATGTCGTTATTAACCATGATCATCTTGTGGTAACCGGAAACGTCACCTGACAATGTTTTATTTTTTGGGGTGGTCAGCCCATAATCAATAATAACAATTGCCATATATAACTTAATGTAAATGGATATATGGTACACTGTAGTATTCCTGGGAACGAGACAGCTGATACATCTACAAAACAAGCTGCTATAACTGTTTGTTAAAATATTCCAAAATTTTCCATCACGATCTCTTTATAAGTTCCTAGCTAGCACATAAACATTTACAGTGTTATTACAAAAAAGTTAAACACAAGTTGAACACGTGTTTAAAAAAAAATCTATTACAAAATCGTATTTAGGCATTGTTTAAGGCTAAACATCCCTTAAACATTGTTTAAAATATAAACACTCGTTGAGAGTTGTTTAACGCGTGTCTAACCTCAAAATAGGTTGCGCTTTGTTGAAAATTCATCCATATTCTTAAGATAAAGATAATATTGATATGGTCGATTTAGATTACATGGAAAGCTTTGGAAGCGTAAGTAAACCGAACGCGATTTAATCCATTTGAGCAATACAATGAACTTTGATACGAGGGTCAAACTGAAAGTTCTTAGAAAATCAAAAACTGATTACATTAGCCAGTTATTAGTTTTATTATATCTTTTCAAAATATTGTCCATTCACGTCAATACACCGCTGCATGCGATGGAACCACTGGGAAAAGCACTTTGCCCACTCGTCCTTAGGGGTCTCTTCAATGGCATCGCGATACGCAGCCACCGCTTCTTCAGCATTCATAAACCGCTTTCCTTTAAGTTTTTCTTTAATTTTTGGAAATAAATAAAAATCACAAGGCGCGTGGTCGGGGCTATACGGCGGGTGACCCAGTAATTCAACGTTTGATGTCGCCAAATAGTCGATCGTTCGCTTGGCGGTGTGCGACGAGGCGTTGTCGTGGTGAAGGAGGATCCTACTGCGAGGTCGTTTCTCTCGAACTTTTTCCAAGACAAGTGGCAAACAATTGGTAGTGTACCATTCTGCAGAAACTGTTTTTTGATCCTCTAACACAATTGTTGCAAAATGACCTATCCTTCCAAAGAACGAGGCCACCATTTTTTTTCCCGCACTTCGATCTCTCTTCACTTTAGTTGGCAACTCCTCGAAAGGAAACACCCACTGAGCAGATTGTCTTTTGGTTTTAGGATCATAACAGTAAATCCAGCTTTCGTCACCTGTTAGTATGTCGAACACAGCATTTGAGTCACCTCCGTTAAATCTTTCAATCATTTTACGACACCAATCCACACGATGGAGTTTTTGAGCCTCAGTCAAATTATGAGGTATCCACCGGGCGCAAAGCTTCCTGACCGCTAAATGTTCGTGGAGGATTTTGTGCACTTGACTCATACCGATGCCTAAGCTTGTCCGAATCTGTTGATAGGTCACTCTTTTGTCAGTCTCTATCATACGCCGCACAACACAGATGTTATCTTCAGTCGTCGCCGTAGAAGGCCGTCCCTCACGTAAATCATCAGTGAGATTAGTGCGACCACGTTTAAACTCATTAAACCAGTTGTAAACAGTCGCACGAGATGGGGCTTCATCGTGAAAGGCCAATCGTAGTCTATCATAACTTTCTTGTTGACTTAAATGACATCGAAAGTCATAAAAAATCATTGCACGAAAATTTTCTCGTGTTAAATTCATGATGACGTGACACAGACAATTTTCAATTTGCCGCCAAATCGTAAAACAAATGACAAATGAATGAAATATATACTCAGTAATATTGGCAAAGAGTTATATTTTCAAATTTTAGAATTATTTTTTTATTATATTGTTTATAAGTGGCCAGTTCTAAGAACTTTCAGTTTGACCCTCGTATAAAAGAAAGTACATATTTAGTGGTGTGTTTGCTGACAAAATATATGAAATTATTTAAGACGATATTCCACATAATCCTCGAGATGAAAGTATAGATCTGCAAATAAATACACGTATCATGTGCATGTGTGCATAGCTTCTGTGTCTGTTCACAGCTTGTGAACATGTGCGGCGTTGGGTTCGGCATCAGGTAGTCGTTGTTCCGTTTCTTCATATTCTTTCGCTATAGTTTTACTTAACCTTACTCTAATATGAATTATGAATAGAAGTGCCAGTTTAAAAACGTTAATTTTGTACTTTCTTTTTTACTTTTGAAAGTTATTAGCTAATACGTTACTGAACATATCTTTTTACGATTAGAATTTATCATAAGTCTGTATACAATGTGCATATAATGGAACGTATATGAACGAATGAAAGCCGACTGAACGAATGCTTTACGGGTTGCATGTTTAAATCAGCGTTAGTTAGACTACGACTAAAAATGGATTTGTAATAGACAAAGTTAAACATCATTTTAAACAGGGTTTATATTCTTAGACATTGTTTACTTAAACACATGGTAAAACCCTGTCTTACATCTCTTTTGTAATAACACTGTTAATGAAGTCATGGAATGTTATTAGGGAAAATACTAGGAAAAGAGGGGGAATGTATTATTTTGACATTCAGAAAAGTATCCCTAGTACAACCTAGTTTTTAAGAAGAAGTTTTTTATTAAAAAAACTATTACAATAATTTTCATCTAAGAATTAGACATGTGTGTTCCCTAGTTCGACTTTCCAAATTCAAAATAAAAGACAATCCCATCTGCGATCATGGCATTGAGAAAGGAACTACGAATCATATTTTTTTTAATTGTCCTAATTTATCAATCTCCCTTTATGATTTGCTCCCATCAAAAGTTCCTCATCCAACAAATACTGAGAGGAACAAAATGACCGACACAGCCGAAAGTTTCAAGTTAGGTTACATGCAAACGTTCATTTTATTTGACAAATATTTCAAAATAGATGAGGTGTAAAAATGGAGTAAAAATTTTAAATTTCTAAGTGTTGACAGCCCTACAACGCGCATGCGCAATATCGATTGTGTGCAGATTACAACGAACCGCGAAATACGTTAATTTAATTATTTACCGATATCTTAATGATAGTCGATGCTGAAAATATCCACTTCCTCTCTGAAGACTGAGATAAGCACGCTCTTTTCAATGCCACTGCATGCACGCGCAAAACACATCACATTTCACACAAGACTAAACACAATCTTCACTAAACTAAACAGTCAAGACAAATACTCTAGTATTTTATTCACAAAAATTCAATTAAAAATGCACTAGGTGCGTCGACGGCGATGCGCAACGACACTCCAGCGCAAAAGGTCGGCGGCGACTGATCGGCCGGAAAATACCGATAGAATAATGAAGCCGCATGGCGGCTGGCGGGTGGGTGGGGCTTTGATATCGAGGGACGAACTCGGTTCACATTTTTTTTATTCGTCTTTTGATATCACGTATTTTTTAATGTTCTTTTTAAATGCTATTTTAATAACAAATTCCTCAATTTTTTTAAAACAAAATTCATTTGTGTTAATGATGAATCGCTGGAAGATTTGTGAGTTTATCAAGTTTAATTAACGATCCCGTTGTTAAAGGAGTATTACCCCATTCAAACAATTTTTTTGGAGAACTGCTCTTTTAAAATAACGTAGGTTAATGTTAGACTGATATCTCTACAATAATTTAGGAAATTTTTCACTCGGTTTCTTAATTGAGAATTTAAAGTTAAACATCTCAAACCAACATCATTTAGTTTTCGTTTCCGATTTTAGTTTTTTGATGATCAGTTGATAGCAGTTTGATAAAACTAGGACTATTTGATTTGTGAAATTAAAAAACTTAGGTTATTGAGAATAAGCAGTACAAATTTTCTACTTTTTTCAAATCAGAAACCGGCTGTTAGTCTTTAAATCGATTTAAGCATTTTGACTGCCTTATTCATTGGATGTCTGGTAGAATTTGCATGAAAGCAGTCTTATAAATCACAAACTAGTTTATTTCTTTTTTAGGAATGAAGAAGTCAATGACCGATTAAAAACTTTTCCTTAGTACGTCCCAAAAACAGCTGACTCAGGGTTGAAAACACTCATTTTTTTTCAAAAACTTTGTAATTTAATATCTCCGAAACTATTTGATATTTTTTTTTACATCATATTAAAGACAAATAGTACTCTCTAGGAACCTCGGGAGTGTCGGTCGTTCTGTTCCACCAAGTATAAAATGTATCTTGAATATGTAGAAGACCAGCCCATACAAAATTTCTAGCATCAATAATAGTCTTACTTTATAAGTATCTTTGTTTTCTCTATTAATTCTATTTGTATAATACAAACAATATTATCAGACAAACGTGCTAGGAGCCTTTTTTTATTGTTTTATATATTACCAAAAAATACAAAATTGACGTATTTTTATTAATGTTTCTTAACGTGTGAAGACCACAAACGTGACGTTGGCGGAATTGTGTAAACGCAAATAGGCCACGATTATGATTGAAAAAGTAATTAAAAAAACAGATGGTACTAAAAGCACCTCTCTAGATGGCAACTCTAGCAAAAGTTGATTTTTACAGGCAACGATTGGACCAAAATCATTTCCATTCCTTTTAACTAACATATTAATAAACTAAAATTTGCAAAGTTCAATTCTTATACAAATACGAAAAAGTACAAATAGAATATGAGTTGTTTGAGTTTTGAAAATGAATTTACTTTTATACATGAAAGAAAACCGGAGGGTTGTCATGAAAAAATCAAGAAAGTTTTTTTAATACTACCTCATTAAAAAAAAGAAGGCAAGACTATGACACACAGCTGCAGGTTAGGTTACCACAATGTGTCAAATTTCTACAATAGATTCTGACCTCTACTGACAATGAATTAAGATTTATGTCGAGATTGCCGAGCAGGGTCCATAGAGAATTGTTTTTTGTCAAGAAGTCTGTCAAGTTGAGGTCAAATTACAGTTGTGGTTCTGAATTACAGAATCATTTTCTGTGTTAGTTAATGTAACAAACATTCCTTTGTAAACATTCTCGTTATATTTAAAACAAAATCAATGGAGTAAATAATAATTATAACCATTTATGTAATAAATAGAAACAAAACTAATTATTGTTTGCATAAAGTGCTGTTCAAAAAATATTTCATTATTTCTTGGGAATATCAACCGATGACACAAAAAAAGATATTATTTTCTATTCACACGAGACACCATTGGAATCAACAGTGACCTAACCTTCAACTTTAAATTCGTTTCTATAAAGTAAGCCCTTTTTATCAGTACTAAGTATTTTATCAGTATCATAAAGATTATTATTTGCTTAGTCAATATTGTTATTACAAAACTATATCACTGTTAAAGAAAGCAGTACAATAATTTATTATGTCGAGGGTTCACAGAGTTCACCTGAACAAAATAAAATTAAGCTTTTCATAACATTTAATAGTAGTATAAGATGTTTGAATCTTTTGCTTGCTCCTGTATTAATTAAGTTCAACCATTTATTCTGCATGAGATTTATTTGGTTACATTGCTATTATGTTTACTTGCTCTGTGAAACTTCTAAGAGCTCATCATTTTTCAACTAACAAATTTACTATCATGACTAACCATTCAATTTTTGTGCAAGTAATATTTTGATTAATGACAACAATAAGATACATCAGGTGCGTAAGCTGAATATCCTTACTTTCTTTTTCCTGAACCTATAAATACATAGTTGATGTAGCTAAATACAGGATAAATTATTCAAATTTAAGTAAAAGTGGTTTAAAGCAATTCTGTTTTAATCTAAAAAAGTTAAATTTGACTGCATTGTAGGGACAGAAAATAATGTGTTATTTTTTCACGAATTTGTAGATCTACCTCCTTTTTTCATATATTTTTTTTCCAGTAATTTAAACATTGAAATGGTCTTCTGTAAAGTTCTTCTGTTCTCCTGTAAATTTCTAAAACTGTCACATAACACATTTTGCCTGTGAACCCTTGATGCATTACATTTTCACCTCATGTATGTTTAAATATTGATATGGACTCATTATGTGTAACGCCTAGGATGTGACTGACTATCCAAGCAACGGTCTCGCCTCACTCAATTACCAGAGATCTTATTGAGGCTGTTGAATATTTTTCTGTTTATTGAGGAGATAAATATTGAAATTAATTAATCAACAGTGTAGCATACCAACAAAGCTTCTTTCCTACAATAAAAATATGTATAATTTTGTCCTTTGCTATTTTATCTTGCATACTATAAGTTCACAAAAACATTCTATGAAAAAGACGAAATGAAAGTCAAGAGTATGTATTTATTTATAATATTATAGCTGAACCGTATTTCGAAGCAGTTTGACTCTATAATACATAATAAACTTACTAAAATTACAGAATATAATAAGTTAAGCAGTATGGTAACTCTAAACAAATGGATGAATTCATCCATTCACCTAGTCCCACTCCTTTACATGGTTTTTAATCAAACTCATACAATTTATCATTTCATCTGAGGGCCTATTGTATTTGTACCTAAAAAATCTAAAAATTAGAAGTTGTTACTTATAATTTTGTTAAAATCATATCCGTGAAGATCATCTCTATACTATAGGAGGCAGTGGAATGTCCTAGCTCTGCTTCACTTATGTTTTTTAAATTGACTACCTACTAATATTGAATGTTGAGAAGAGAGTAGTGTTTTATCCTGAAATTATTGAATAACCTAATGCCCTAATACATCCTGGGATGTAATTTCAGAATATGGTCTATTTACAGTACTGCTTTAGCTAAAGGGGCTTCTAAATTGACAATGTTTTTCAGCAATAAGTGGCTGCAACACAGTGGCCAGCAATATTGCAAGAAATGCCAGCCAGGTTGTGCAATATTGTAGCTATATCCCAACCATATATTTTTAGTATGGCCAATAAAAAGATTGAAAGGTTGCGGGATCATGCTGAGTGAACAATTTTATTGCATTATTGCTCAGCTAGTTCAATTGTGGCTTCAGACACTCACACAGATAACCCCCCAGTCAAAGGTGTATGGTAAATTTTCATTGCTATAATTTTTTATAATTTCAGTCTGGTTTTACTTGACAGAAACTACATGTACCTTTGACATTCTAGTAAAGCTATTAAATAATTTATTATCAAAACTAGATATATTGCAGGAATTGCAGACTAGATATATTGCAGCCTTAGCTTAACAAAATGAATAGACATAAAATTATATAAATATCATGATAATTTACCAACTAACACAAATTACGTAAAAATACTTATGTAATAAAAATAAAACTAACTAAATGAGATATTTAATGAAGTTCATTTGTAGACCTCATTACCCCTAAAACGAAAACTTATTCATTATATCGACCCCCTAAAAAAGTAAACTAAAATGACCTCCTGAAACGAAGAGATCTCATGTTATGACCACTTTTGATATCCCTGATTTCCAAAAGGGGTTAAAATGGTTTTAGAACATTGATTTATCTGAGTATTTGTTGTTACTATGTCAGTTCATAATAATAATCACGATAAACTGTTATGTATTGGCAACTACGCTATATTTGTTGTCAGAATACGTTTAAATTGTTAATAAAATATGCTTAGTCATTGCGCGCCATGGCCACTCGTTCGTCGTCCTACACGCGCAGGCTTCTATTATTCAAATAGTCGCGTTGTTATCGTTTCGCGCGCTCGTTGTCTCGTGCTTTTTTAGTTCTATCCTACTTTTATATACTTTAATTAATTGAGCTTAATCCGTAATTACTAAATTCATCCACATAATGACAGCGCATAGTGTTATGTAGTGATAAGCATATTAATTACCTTATAACCCAGTGTATTAAGTATCACTCTTAATATTAGAATCTGTGATAATAAAGTAAATAAAATATGAACTTGTGATAGTGTTTATAGTAAATAAATAGTGAAAGTTTTAAGTGTGTGAATATAGTTTTTTGTTGTTTGTATCCTTGTGATACAGTACATTTATTGTGTTAAAATGAGACTGAATTTTCATTCAGAATACGACTCCAATAATGGTAAGGAATTTGTTTAATAAACCATAATTTCGACAATACAGTTATTAGGTATTTAGTTGAATGTGTCCTATGAAATATTATAATTAATACACAGTTATCTCTTACCCTATCATTGATATTTTACTGATTTCATGTTGAACTCTATGCCTACTTGCTATTGTCTGCGATTAACACCGTAGAATTCCAGTTATTAATTTCAACCTTTTGGGGTCTATATCGACTTCAACGAAAACTGACTGGTGATCGACGAGGTCAAAAAAATCGATTCTATTAATGAAAAAGTTCTTATTTGAAACTATAGGTTAATGAGAAAAGAATAAAAAAAAAAACAAAAGAAAGTACTAAAAAAGCAACACACTAGATGGCGACTCTAGCAAAAGTTGATTTTTGCAAGAAACGAATGGACCAAAGATAGTAATTTCCGTTCCTTTTGACTAACATATTAAAATCTGAAATTTGCAAAGTTTGAAACTAAGATATTTATACAAATACGAAAAAGTACAAATAGAATATGAATTGTTTATTGAGTTTACTTTTATACATGAAAAAAAACTGGAAGGGTTGTCATGGAGAAATCAAGAATGTACCGTAGCGACATATAGTATGATTTCGGGAACTAATGTTTTTTTTAATACTTCCTCATTCCTATGTAACTCAAGTCAATATGATCTCAAGTTTACTCACCTAACCAACTCATAAAGGTTTTAAACTGACAATTCATCAAGAAACGAGTTATGTATTTAAATCTTATATTTGCACTTATGGGATCTTGTGGATTACAAAAGGGCAATCCCATGAGTGATATGCAGAGGTCGGAATTAGGTAGTTATTTATGTACTTGCATCGAAATGCTGATATTAATATGGACCTTCCCGGGATTTTTAATGGACAATCTTGGACATCTTTGGACATTCGATGTCATTGATGTAATTTTGGCAACGTCGTGCGTGCAGTAGTTTAAATTGTGTAAAAGTAAATAACTTTTTATTTTAAAAATCACGGGATTTTTTCTGCTCTTTAAAATTAATCTCGGGATTTGAGGCATATCCACTTTATTCTTTCGCTGTATGAAATCAGTATAAGTACATGAATAACTCTACCTAATTCCGACCACTGGTGATATGGCAGGGTAGATAAGTCTGTTTTTGCCAGTCAGTCGAGTGTCAAGTTTGAGCATAAAAATATGAATGTTCCGCCAAGTACTTTGTCCTCAAAAAATAGTGGCGACTCCAAGTATGTTCTAATTTAATTACTGTGTAGTTTGTAATAGCCAGATTAATAGTCTTTTTTATATTAATTTCTTATATTTTTACGCACTATTGATAGTCCATAAATGAAAGACTTTTAAAACTTTTTTGTTTTTTATATTTAAATTCTAAAGTGAAACTCCCGATTTGATCGGTTTTCGTCCACCTACTGCCCAGTTTTTATCTCCTTATAAGCTCGTTAGGCGACGATTTTCAACGAAATACGAAACACGTTTTCTTTAAATTCTGTTAAATAATGTTAATGCAAAATTTGAAGTACTCAGATCAGACCAAAGAATCACCTAGTCCTCTACAAACTTTGCCCCGTTTTTTACCCCCTTATGGATAGAATTTCAGTTAATCCTTTCTTGCCTGATGACTAAAGAAACTATCCTACAAGATTTAGGTCTCTATGACCAGCGGTTTAGGCTGTGTGTTGATCAGTCAGTCATTCAGGACAAAGCATTTTGTATGTATAAATAATTTGCAAATAAAGAACTAATAAACCGTTAATAGTAAAAAATAAGTAGTTTGTTGATTCTCTATTTATTTTTATGTAACCACAGAAAAATCAGTTGCTTATCACTGTTTTCGTAAATAATTTTCCTAAATAATCTCATTACAAAGGTCTAACTAAAGGTCTCATTACATCCTCACATCACTTTTGTTCCTCACAACACATTTCACACTGGTCTTCATTTTTACACGATGACATGACATTTCTAATCGATTTCCGTGGTCATTCTTCTTTTTATGGCCTTCAGATTCCGATAAACTATCAAGTTTTGTATAACTTTTAATTAAATGAGAAAAATGGTCGCTAACTGGTAGCTCTAAAAGGTCTACATCGAATTTCGGACAAGCATAACCGTATATCGTAGTCAGTTTATATTTTAAAAAATATTGGAATAGGGATGACGACCGGGTAAAAAGTGCAATTCTATTTAGTCCGTCAGTCAGATAATAGAAAAATATTAGATACGTATTTTTTTTTACTTCAATTTAACAAGATATAGCTTAGATAACAGGCATTAAAGTTGAGGAGTTCGCTACGTCCAGTTTAGTAGAAAACGTACCATAACGTGACGTCATGCGAAATTTCAACTCCATGGAACGCCATAATTTTATGATTACAAAAAAATACGTGTTTAATATTTTTTAACTCTCTACCTGACGGACAAACAAACAAAAATTAGTCGTCATCCCTATTGTCACTAGAACTCAGATAACGAAATTAGATTTTAAAAAAGTTCCATACATTTTAAGACATCAAATGATTCTTATTTGGACGTTTTTTCTCACTTTTCGACCATCTGGTTGAAAACTGAATGAATGTTGAAGACTGAAATTTACGTTAAAATCTAATTTTTCCACATAAAAGAGGTCATAAACTAGCTACAAAAACAGTCATTAAACCGAAATGACTTAAGAATTATTAGAAACTCACTGTCAAAGGATTGGCACCTTACTATTTTTTTGCTTACACATGACGTAGTCCGTTGCAACTAGGGCTGCCACCTTTTTTTTCCCCAATTAAAGTACATTAGTTATTTATTATAGGTACCGAAAAAAAGTACATAGAATTAAAATAAAGTATTATTTATTTTTCTTTATTATTTAACTTAAAAATATATTTTCTTTTTATTTACTTACGACTAAGATTCAAAATCACAAAACAAATCAAATCATGCGAAGTAAAGTATTTTCGTGTACTTTATTGTTCATTAATGTTCCTACTATTGGGGCTCAGGCCTTCGGAATGGATGGAATGGAATAGGGAGAATGGGCCTTTTACCCACCATGCGGGCCCTACTGTCTAGCGATCAATTTTTATGTAACATATCTTGTCTCGGATTATATTTGATTAATTTTGCATTCACAATGCTATACCGAAAAATATTGAAATTTCGGCGTTTGGGTGAATTCCCTGAAAATTGATGAAAATACGCTCTGTAGTAGTGAAAAAGTAAACAAGTGCTTGAGAATTTCGCCAGTCCTGTTAGGTCCGGGGTAGTTCAGTGCTTAGAGCAGTCACCCGGATTGCGAATGGTTCGAGTTCGAGTCTCATCTCAGAGTGCCAGGGACAAAGTGGGTATTTAAGCATTTTTCATTATGAATATCTTGTCTCTCTTCAGAATACGCCATGGATATGGACGAGCAGACATATTGTGGTAACGCCTCTGCCTCTGATATGCCTCCAATCTCTGACGCCGCATACGACGGCATCATTGGCTGTGGATCAAACGAGATAGGGGATATGACATTCTGTATGGGCAACTACATCACTGACTTCATGAAGGTATTTATAATTGATTTCTATTGAAAGACCATGGCCTGCAGAAAAAAGGCGACCAAGGGCGAGTCGGACTCGCGCATTAACGGTTCCGTACAAATATAAAATTATTTAGACTTGTAATATTTCGATTATCTGAAAGTAAATAACTGTTTTCTCTACCTCCAAAATTTCAGGCCAGTAATGTCGGAAATAAGAAAGATCTATTTTATCTTAAAAATAGAAATATCTTTTTTCATATGTAATAGCTCTTTCATTTAATACGTTATCTAATATAGTTTTTTTTCTATAATAAATAACTTAACTGTATTTTTTATAACTTATCCCTCCGTGTTTCAATTCATTTATTTACGTTCCACAACCACCTTTGTCTCACCGGCTGACGTACCTTTCAACTCTTGATCGCAGGTACCATAAAACACAGCTTTACTGTATCCTATTAGTAGATAGATACAGTAGTTCCGGAGAAAGTAACTGTGATGGTAACAAACAGACACACAATTGAATGATCCTAAAAATGTTCCGTCTTTTCCTTTTGAGATATGGAACACAAAAATACACTTTCAATTTGATTCTCTTATTGCTTCTTCTTATTTCGTATTGGCATACTATAAGCAGATAAGTAGGGTGACTCTAGCCCCGAGCGGGAGATAATAGCCTAAACATGTAGGACTGTCGCTTAATACGTTATTCAATCGTCGGAAATGTATGGTCAATCAATCTCTATAAAATATACTCGTAGTTTCCCCCTGTATGGTAAGTCATCATCATCATCACCGGCCCTTTTATGTACCCACTGCAGGGGCTGAGGCCTTCCTTATGGATGGTTAAGGAGGATGGGCCATGACCCTCCACGCTGGCCCAATGCGGATTGGAGGGTATTAACGACTGTAAATACAACTGGGGCCAATCTCTTTATGTGCCTTCTGAAGCTAGGAGTTGCTTGAGATAATATTTTTTTGGTCACTCATCCCGTGACCGACCCTTGCGAAAGTTGCTTAACGGCAATGATCGCGAGCCGCGGCGCTTATCCACTACGCCACCGAGCTACTATGGTAAGTATCCGAGAACTATAATACAACGTTTTTAATGGTTTTTTTTATATTGATCAACAGCTGACTACAATTTTTTTCATACCTACTTCAGGTTATCTATTTAGAGTTTTGCAAAATTAAAAATCGATTTTATTGCATCATGTGTTTATTTTAATTTTTTCTCAAATAATCAGGCTCACTTCAAATTATAGGTACAAAATAGTTTTAAGTGAATACCTAAAGAATGAAATAACATATACTCGATTTATAAAAGTACTAAAAACATCCGTATTAATAAATGTTATTTACACAGTAAATGAATATTTGAATGGAAACTTTTAGATAAAAAATAACACTGTATAGTAATTTTCAATGGAATGTCTGAACCTCTTTCCATATTTCTATGTTGCCATGCCTATCAAGGTGTATGTGAATATTATTAACTGAAATATCTGTATTTAGTTTCTAAGTCAAATGTATGCTTTAGTATTGGCGACTGCGCAGATTGTTTAATTTTCCAGTGTCAAGGTGCGGAGTTTGTTAATTTTTTCACGTGAAAATAAAACTTTAATGTCTATAAAATAAGGTCTAAATCTTAATTATCTGGATGATATAGTAATAAAATAATATTTTTTCCTTTTTCTTCTTAACTATACTTCTCCGCGCTTTGGCGTATGGTAGTGTGGGTGTTCCCACTGAAGACGCATACGCACGAGCGCGCTCACATACTAACCATTTTCGGTGCGTATGTATGAAGAGAACTTACTCTTTGTTATACTCTGGTATTGGTAAGTTCGGGGTTTTCCTATGTTTGTAATATAAACGGCATACTATGTTTTGGTACTATTGATAACTTATCAAATTAGACTTAGATAACAAAAACCTAATATTACCACTGAATTGCAATTCATTAAATTATTTCATTACAGATATTCCTTATAGTACTTGTTATTGATCGTGATCTCTTCATGATTGGAGATTTCAAGAAATATTTTCCCATAGCTATTGGCGAATTCATCTTTTGTACAAATAGCCCTACTTCGCCCACTTATTATAATTATTGTTTTCTTTGCTAAATAAGTATATAGTGATAACTGCTAAGCTAATCTAGTCCTATAGTTGCTAAACAAATGCGCTGGCGATATATATTTATTCTGATGGAAAGAGAGCCGTCGAGTGTATCACAAAAACATGCGGCAGATCATGTTCAAGGTTCAATGACTTGTGTATTACATATTTCGTCAGCATTGACGTTACGTGATAACGAGACCGATTATTTATCCGTCAGATATGCATCTAAACCTAACAGGGCCCTAGAGCGTACCTACATTGTCTTCGATTTGGAAGACATTTGATGCAATTGCGTGTGATCGCGTTCTCACAGACACGGCTCGAAGGCAGGTTTGTTTTCATAATATCGTCACATGTATAGTATATGTAGTGATAAAATATCTCTATTATTCCAGATGTAGGTATTTATAATCCATCCGGCAGTTAGCACGTTTTTTAATACAAAATTTCGCCACCATCTTATTAATGCCTAAAATATTTTATATAATTATATTAAATAAAAGTCACCCAGTATTGAAGATCTTTTGATAAATAAATCATACATAATTCTGTTTAAAAAAGGATTAGATTAACATAAATGCTTTTTGGATTGTACTAATTTTTAATTCAGAATAAATTTGCCGAATCGAATTGTATATATAAATATCATACATACCGATTTTCACATTTGTAAATGTGTACAATATTATTGTTTCCTAGCTATTAATCTATAGTTAGGATTAACTTATTAGGTTACCAAGTGACTAAGAACTATTTTTACGGTATGTTAAAAGGTGTGCAATGATAAAAATAATAACGTACCATAATGTATAGTAGAAGATAAAAATTGCGCCGTATTTTGCTTTTGTTGGTTTCGTTTGAACGAATTACTTATTTCGGTATTGTTATAAATAGACGTTTGAGAAATTAAATAGACTTAGATTTTTTATGTAGGAACTAGTTAAAGTGGTACTCCACGAGTTCATTGATCACGAGACATCATTTTGACTGGGAAGTGATAAAAAAAAAATCTGTTTATTTCCATCATAAATGGCATTACACATACACAACACTAATCTTGATTAAATATTGTACAGCTTAAATACATAATTTAAGCATATACTATTGGTTAAATCACAGAAGAGCAGCAATGTAACAATTGTAATATATATACACTATCTCTGACATGGATTATTATATTTTTCTTTCATAAAATATATTTTCAAAATGTTTTTAATTCGAACAAGCTTTTTATCTTTTATTTTATCCATTATATTTTATTATATTAATAATAATACCAGTTGTATAGTTTTGATGACAATGCTATTTGTCATCAAAACTACATGTATATTTCCATTCAAACGAAGAGTGGGAAAAGCAAAGAATTATTTTACGTTAAAAAGTAACTTTGGGTCACTCTCCAACGTTACAAAAATCTCCAAACAAAAATCATAACATAACAATGCCCGCACTGGTTAATTGAAATCTTGGTATATATGTGTGAACCAAAACGTAAACGTAAATAAATTAATTTGAAACATTGGCCTCTTTCGCGGCGTAAATTAAAAAAAAATGCAAAGAATGAAGTGTTTATTTGTAATAATAGATTTAAGTTAATTAAGAAAATAAATAAAAATTTACCTCTCCTTGTTCTGTCCTAATTTCTGAATAATTTTACGCCCAGAGCCTAAAATTTTGAAAAAATAATAGAGAAAATATTTCGAGTCCGACTAGCTCTTAACCGATTTCTGATTATAAATATCTGATCTTTTAGAATTTATACATATTTATAGGTAGTCGTTATTCATTTCTTGTCATGTATTACAGATGATGTTCACAATGAGATCACATCATATGCTGACTGACGTCGTTTTAGAAGTTGGTAACGAGTTATTTCACGTCCATAAAGTGGTGTTAGCAGCGGGCAGTCCATACTTCAAGGTTTGTTAGGATTTTTATAAACGTTCTTTACTATACTTTATTATTAAATTATAATATTAGTTATTATTTTTTAATGGATTGCTTAGACGTTGACCAAATCTATAGAAGACCCGCCTGCTTATAAGTCGAAACGTTACGCGTTTAAGAGAGCGTTTAACGTCTAAATAAGCAATAATTGAATATATGAAAACTGGATCGTTTTTGTTAACGTTTTGTTACAGTCAAAGCGTCAATTACAAAAAAAATATATTGATACGAATCACAAAATAAGGCGTAATATTCACCGTTCTTTTCATTATGACTTCCTCTTTTATTAGAAGTCAAATCGATAAATATGCGAGTCGCTTTGTAGCCGACGGCTTTTAGAATAATCGTAGTGGGTGGGCTTTAAAAGAGAGGTATTATCCGGTACCCCATTAGTTGTACTGATTCAGTTTCCCTTTCCTCGAACATAAGTAAAGGATAGCGTATTTTTTAGAATAGAAATAAAACTAAAATAGAATGAACACACTACACTAACACACATTATTTTCGATATATTAGAAAATTATCAACAATGAGATAAGTTGATAATGGTAATGTTTTGTTTTGTCAGGCCATGTTCACGAGTGGTTTGAAAGAGAGTGAGATGTCACGCGTCCGATTGCAGGGTGTGTGTCCGTCGGCGATGGCGTGGCTTGTGTACTTTATGTACACAGGGAAAATTCGCATCACTGAAGTAACCGTATGCCAGCTCCTGCCCGCGGCGACCATGTTCCAGGTAGGACTAATCTAAATTTGTCATTCCTTTTAATTGGTTATGTTTTTTTTTTAAATATTTATAAAGTACGGCAAGTAAGATGAACCAAAATGGCGGGTACAGTCGTAGACTAGAGATGTGCCCCAAACGTTTTCATGTATTCTATTTAAAACACGGTATAAAATTGTCATAAATTATTTTTCTCCTAAGTCTAGTTTTCCTTAATATATAGCTATTGTGACTGCGGCATTATTTAAAAAAAAACCTACCCAGAAATTAATTTGGTTTATTTTATTGATTATGTACATTTTTCAATTAATATTATAAAGAGTTTTAAGCTGCATTTTCCATTCTCTATTTGATTTCATCCATAGTGAAGGTCTCTGTTCCAGCAGTGAAGACTAATAGACACCTCATTATATACTACTCGTACGAATTAACCTGACACCTGAAGATCTATTCCATTTCTCCGAAAACGAAATATTGTATATTTTCGAAATTCCAATACGACTCCTAAATAAACGCATTATGCGATAATTTATGATGTAATAGAGGTACTGACATCGTCTTTTATGTATATATAATAATCTTCACGGATAAATACAATGAATATAAATAAAATTTTCCGAATTCTCTTTATTAATTCTTACAAATTGTATATTGTTCAGATGTCAGGTGAAGTAATAACTCATTATATAGATAGAATATGTCTTTTCATTGGGCACGGAACCACGACTGCATAATATGCGATGAAACTTTATAAAAACTTGTGTAAAACAAATATCATAGTTGTGTGTGATCAGATATCGAATGTGATCGAAGCATGCTGCGCTTTCTTAGAGCGGCAGTTGGACCCCAGCAACGCAATCGGCATTGCAAACTTCGCTGAGCAACACGGCTGTTCAGAGCTCAAGCAAAAGGCGAACCAGTTCATCGAACGACATTTCACTCAGGTACAATATTCATCTATAATAAAAAAACATTTCACAAAAAAACTGTGCAACATGTTTGAGCTTACAGTTAGAGGAATAAGGAACGTTCGTTAAATGTATTGCTCTTTCTTTACTTTATTGATTTCTCAATATCTAAGGTTAGAGTAATTCACAGTGATACTTAAATCGACTTAAACAAAAAAGTTTTCAGTGCACAATTTTTGTCCCATGATTAATAATACTTATTTACAAAGAAAACTTTTTCTGAAATTTAATATTCAAATATTAAAAATATAATTTTTATTTTAGTATTTAGTAACATTTTTATGTTTCTTTTTTGTTCCTACATTGACAAAAAACAGTCATCAACAGCAGGCATACCTATAAAATATAAGTAGTATAGTGTTTATAGACAGTCTTTATCTCAGTTGTTAGATTAATAAAAGAGACTTACGATTTACCGTTTATAACATAATAGCTTCCGCCAACGGCTTCCCGCACGTGGTCCCTAGGGAATTGTTTATTTGGATATCCACTCATATCATAATACAGATATAACTACATTGACCAATTAAATACTAAAAAATGGTTGCTATGGTAACATTTTAATACCCTATACAAACTTCCACTCCCATTTCCATCTCTTTATTTGCTATTTTTCGGGATAAAACATAGGCTACGTTCACCGCATATGATGTGGCTTCCCGTAGGTGAAATAATTTTTAAATCGGCCCAGTGGTTTCGGAGACCGTAGTGAAAAAAAAAAACTCAAAAAAAAACAAAAAAACTTTTGTTCTTTTAAATATTCATGAATGATATAATAACATCTTTAATTAACTTATATTGTTTGTTATAGGTGTGCAAAGAAGAGGAATTCTTACAGCTAACCACAGCAGAACTCATAGATTTAATTAGGAAAGACGAACTCAACGTTAGGGAAGAGAGAGATGTGTATAATGCAGTTATATCATGGGTGAGTTGTCTTATGCTTTAACATTATAGGTGTCATTGTATCAACGCACCAAAAACGTTATCAAGCTTTAGTAAATTTATCATACTTATGACAGTGGCATACGAATCATACTAGTAACTGTGACCTTATGATATTCTCGTGTAATCAATTCAAATTAAATTCGCCATTTTCAAAGTCCTCAATGCTATTTCGTGGAAAGTCACATAGAATAAAATAAGAATGTGGGTGTTTAAATTGAGCTATATAAATGCTTTTAGACCGCTGCAGATAAACACATAGATTAAGCTAATTGTAACTTCGCAAGTACTGAAAAAGTGCCGTTAGATAAAAAATGTTTTTGAAATATCATTATTCAACCACAACTAACTTTTACTTATTGGCGCTATCTAAAATAAAAAATAAACGTTAAAAACTGCAGGTACAGTGGGCGGGACTTCTCAAAGGTGGGCGGTAGTTCTCCCTAAAGAAAACAATATTCTTAACGTGTTTACTATAGAAAAAGAAAAACGCTTCTTTCGTAATTAAAAATGCTTAAAACATCCACCAGCACCAGGGATTCGAACCCTTTTGCAATGCGGGCGACCTCTTTAACCTCTGAGCTACCTAGGACCGAACAGGACTGATGAATTTTTAAGCACTTGTTACTTTTCGCTACTAGTGAAATTTCCAGTATAGCATTGTGAATGCAATATCAGTAAAATATTCCGATAGGGTATATTATCTCATTAGGTTCATGCATTGCTATCGCATTGTTTTGATTGTTTCACGACGCATCCGTGCCACAATGAGTTGACATAAATATCATAGATTAAATTTAAGAAGCACGTGTAATATTTATATTTATTAATGTTTTTCGGTATATGTAAACAAAGTCTAGTTTGGTTTAACGCAAAGTGTTTATCTTTTATATCCATGAAAAACTGACGCATATGATAATTATACTGATAACGGATTTTTACGTAAGTTCTCTAAAATAAGATTATGCATATTGTTGTTTTTTTTTTATGGAAAGAAGGTTCTTCTTCTTGCTTCAAGACGGAAAATGAAAAACTTCCTGACGCTTCTTGGTGCAAGAAAGTAGAATAAATGCTTTTAAATGGCTTATTATTAGCCAGTGCTTGTAAATGGCCCGGCCTAAGACTAAGAGCCAATCAGACGGAAGATCCGTAAAGCGGCTCATAAAAGTGTACGACCAGAGTCCAAGGTTCTGTCTTATATGTGTATTATTTTGATTTTTAAACCTTAATTGGAATGTCGGCTATAAAAATACAGATTTTTCGGTATGTTCGAAAAATAAAAACCGTTTTAACTTTTAAATATTTAACATAATTAATTTTTATACATATTTCATTTTGAAAACTTGAAAAATAGTGAAAATATATTACAAAACTTTGTTAAAATACACATGGCATTATTACATAAATGTAATAACTTCGATTGTAATAATTATAAACATTATAGCGATCATAAAAATAAACGCACAACTAACAAAGATATTTCAAATATTGTCCAGACGCCCATACGTTTTTCGCTACCGTGTGATGTCACTTTTTAATGTTTTCAGTCAAATTGCAGCAGTTCCACCAGCACAGCATCGTATGTCCTAAATTATTAATCGCTAAATGTTATTTCTGTATTATTTCTCAGATATTAATGGACTACTTATTTATAAAATAAATAAATAATAGGTATTATATATTTATTTGCACTTTAAGTGGATAATTGACACATATCTAACTGATTCGTTAATTTAATTTGGTCTAGAATATGTTCATATTCATATGCTTATATAATTTGGCTTATAGCGGAGTTTAATTAATGGACAGTCGATAATACATCGTGTTACAAAAGGTCAAAGGAGATGCTAAATTAAGTATAGGCTTCCTTTACATTGTCTAAACATAAAATCAATTATTATATTATGTTAGATAGCTACATATTATATTAACATTTGAACCAATTTGCACAGTTAATCGAATTCCCGCATTTTTACGTCAAATTTAATTATTATTGATAATACACGTTTTATTTGCATTCAAAGTTGGACTAAAAACATTTTTATAGATATATTTTAAATTATAGATAAATTTAAAATAGTTTTAAAAATATTCTCAACAACCTTGACCGCGTCACCTAACATGGCGGATGTATCAGAACATGACTTCGACGTAGCTTTGCTTTCTCAACTGAGACTGAAACATACACAAATTATACATTTGAAAACTTAAACAAGTAATTGCTGTCAAACGCAATTGATAGTCGAGGACTGTTTATTTAAATATTCGATTCCCGTCGTATCAATGTTGAAAATTAACTTTTCTATATTATCTCGGGTCTGGGTGTTGTTGTCTCAGATACTCCATAGTACGAGGGCTTTAGCTACTCATCTTGGAATCTGACCAATGTATGTGATGTTGTCTAATATTTATTTATTGATGCTGATAGGTGAAGCATGACGAAGAAAGAAGGCACTCACGCATGGAGCATATACTGCAGGAAGTACGGTGCCAGTTCCTCACGCCACGGTTCCTTACAGAGCAGATGAATACGTGCGCTGTACTAAAGAAAGTCCCCGCCTGTAGAGAGTATCTAGCTAAAATTTTCCAGGTAATAACTTATGATTACTCTAAGAGAAAATTTTCCAATTCCATTTATTTGAATGAGTATCCACATTCAATGGGGTCGTTTGAACTTATAGTTTATCATATATTCAATATTTTAGACACCTCTCAACTAAAATAAATAAAAGAATATCGCAAATAAACAGCCTATCCATACAGTTTAAAATATTTTCTAGTTTTTATGGCTGGTATTTTCCAAATTTTTTACTATACTAAACATGATCTTGTAATGTAGTAGAACATCACGATGATAATTCAATTTTGTATGTAATTGGACGTGACTTTGTAAAATGAAAATATTTCATATTGTTAAATTTACGTATAGGAAATTTGTGACTTCACCTCTCACTTGTGTTGCAAGAAAAAAATCGACAGGGGATATCGGACAAATTAAAAAAAGTGTTTTAAATTATTAAATAAGGATGAAAAAAATATTATTCTATGTAAATTAATCTTGTCATCTACCCAAAATTATCTTTAAATTAAAATGGTTTAAAAAAGCCGCGTAAATGGCAACTCCGTAGACGTGACTTTACACATGTGGTAGACAAAAGATATCATAATAAAAAAATTGTTTTATCGTATGCTATTTTTATATTCAAATGTACATAAATAAAGTATTATAAACTGTATTTTATATTTCGAAAGTATCCCATGCTTTGTTTAGTTAGTTTTATAAACCAAATAATCCACGAATGACGTCACGGGCTCTGACCGTTTCGTTTGACATGAAACACGGACTATAAATATTTACAAAAATAAAATTTTACCACTTGATTTGAAATAATTGTAAGAAAAAATTAATTGTTATTAAAGAAATTGAATTCAATTAATAATTCTTTAATTTAATGAAACTTTTAATCAAAACATAATTGAATAAAATATAATTTTAAATAAGCTATTCACTCGTATTAATTGATTAATATTTATTTTATGATTGTCAACTTTGTTGCTGTTTTTTATCTTGTTGATAAGGCAAAGGAGTTTCCATACAGCTATTTGCTATGTCATTTGTGTAATCAATGATATGCATGATAAGAGTTTTATTAGAATGCAGAGTCGCATTAATAGGCTTGTGTCATACAAGTGAAAAGGCAGGTTTCTGTTATATGTTCGGAACATATGAATCATTTTAACTAATCAATATTCAATATAATAAATTTTATGAGATTAATAGATTTGCAAAGGTAGGAAAAATATACTACAAAAATTTACTAAAATACATATAGCATTAAATTAGTTACATACAATGATACAACTTTCATTATATCATCTATAAACATAAACGCGCAAATAACAAAGATGAGACGCCCATACTTTTCTCGCTACCGTAGCACCGTGTGACGTCACTTAGTGCATTGAATTTGTTTGGAGAGTTTTCGGCGGACTAGCAGCAGTTCCACAAACACAGCACAATATCACCAAAACTATTAATCGCAGACATGCTGTTGCCTCTACATTATCTATGGACTATTTATTTATAAAATTAAAAAAAAAGTTGTCATCTACCTATTATATATTATAAACATTGTTCAAATAAATAAAACCTAATTACTTCTTTACAACTAATTGTAGTAATAGGAAACGTATACACAAATAATGTGTGTAACGTGATCTTACAAATACCTATATCGTACTCCATCTCTACATTCCTCGTCGCTGACTTACTCTGCGAAAAACGAGACAGTCGAAAAACAGACTCGGGTTCGTGGTTACGCATACATATTTTGTCTTACAACTGTTTTTAAATGTTTTGTGAACAACTCTTAGTGATTAAATGAGTTTTATTAATGCAATGACTGTGTATTATATGTGTTAATTTAAAGAAATACACGGTATTGTATTTAAAGTTCTTAGACTTTTAACGTCTGTGCAAATTGTCGGAAACTTCTCTTTGTTATATATTTTAGTATATGTTTTCCAGCGTCTTTGCCTGCGTAAATTACACTATATTACTCGCGTATGATGCAGCTTCCGGTAGGTATTTTTTTTTATCATCGGATCAATATTGCCGAAGATCCCTACAAACAAATAAATAAAATTAAACGAATAAGTAAAATTAAACAACCACTGTCTATCACCATCATTTTTGGTTAATATTCTAAAATCCTAAACAGCGCCTTCTATCGACAGGATCTGACATTACATAAGAAACCGGTGGTAAGGGAGCGGCGACCTAACACCCCCCGCATGATATACGTGGCGGGGGGCTACTTACGTCACTCGATAGGACTATTCGAAGCGTTTAATGTGGACGATGCTGCTTGGAGCTCTTTGCCTCCGCTCACCGTGCCTCGATCCGGTCTAGGCGCTGCCTTCCTTAAGGTAACCATTATATACCAAGATGAGTTTGTTGTATCTAAATGTATCTGAAAACTGATATCAGTAACATAAACTTCTCGAAACGCCTAACTTGATACCTTCTCTTTCTAATACGAGCGATGTGGTGCAAAAGGGAATAAAGCGAATATCATGTCCACAACCCATCGTTTAATGTTAAGAGCACCCGAATCATGCAAAATTACTGTTACTTTCATAGCTTTAACCGTAGAATAAACCTATTGTACAATAGCTAAGTTTGGTACATAACCGTGTTTTGAAATCAATATCTGAAAACCGTTTAATATCGATGTCAAAACTTGATAACGGAAAAATAGTTGAAACACCAATATCTAATGATAACGAATTATTTTCTTGTTTATTTATAGTTCCATCCGTAAACCTAATTTAAAGCTCTTAATGGCCATTTACAGTTATTGCGTACAATTGGTTTGTTGACGATTTATAAAAGTATCTTAAAAACATTCATATGAATATATTAAATCAATATAAGATTTATTTTCTCCAAAAACTGTTATTAAATAAACAGATAAAACTATGAATTTAATTTGTCCAGCGAAAATATATGGCACGTGATATTTCGAACCGTGACGTCACATTTCAACAAACAAGTACGAGATTCACTCGCAACAAAGCCGTTAACGTTCAGTTCATTGAAACGTGACGTTATATCTTGCCTGTCATGGCCGCCCGTGTCACTGTAGACTATAAATAGCAAGTTAATTTTACAAAAAAAAATACATAGTAAATTAATAGCAAATTACAGTTATAATATTAAGATTATTTGTTTGTGTGTCAGGGTTTATTTTACGCGGTGGGCGGTAGGAACACTTCGCCGGGATCATCGTATGATAGCGACTGGGTGGACGTGTACAACCCTGCAAACGAGTTGTGGCGGCCCTGCAGTCCAATGTCCACGCCCAGACACAGGGTAAACTATACAACTTATTTTAATTTAATTAGCACAGGAGTAATTAAATTAAAGTATTCTTCGATATTTACATGGTGACCATGGGAATATAAACCACCGAAAAAAAAGTATCGAAACCTTGTCATAAGAACAATAAGCTTTAAAAGAAGAAATAATAATAAATAAATAAGTTGCCGGAACTTTCATCATGTGTTCCAGCACTTGATTCAGCACTAGGGTACTGAGTTATATACTTCACTATTCTGAAAAATGATGAAATATTAAGCTTTAGAAAGCCCTTGCACATTTTTGTCACGAGCTCTTCGTCTAAATATTCGATATGATCTTTTTCCAGGTAGGGGTCGCTGTGATGGACGGTTTGTTATATGCCGTCGGCGGTTCATCGGGTTCTGAATATCACAAGTCTGTGGAATGGTAAACAAATAAATTCAGTATATTTGAATTTATTTAGCAGTAATATAGAAAGAAATTGTTTATAATCATTATTTAATAGCACATAAGAATGATTTAATTTGACACTGATAGTTAAAATTTGTAATATGCAAAAGAGTATAACTATAGTATAATGTATATAGCATGCTATTTCTACAATGGAAATGTGGTAAAATATATTCTTTGTTAGTACTAGTAAAGTGAATGTTTCCATTTACGACCTCCGCAGCCAACACAACCTGATTTCAGAAATTGCAATATCTTGAAATTGGCGCTAGTTCGCCAGCGTTTCCGCCAAGGAAGACGTTATCGAACAGATTCTTTCGAACCCCTCTTTAAATGTGTGTTATCTCACTGTAATGGTTAGTTGGCTTACACGTAAATAATGGATAAGTAGCAAGTAGATTTTCAACTTAATTTCAAGTGATTAAGTACGTGTAAACATAAAAATTATGTTATTAATTTAATTAATTTTATTACCATAAAAATAACAATATGACACTTATTTCTAACGGCCCTGCGCTAATTTAGTCTTGTATTGCAGCGACCAGATCTACAGTTCACACATACGAACTTTCCCAAATGTGTCCGTTCGTATACAATACAAAGGGGGAACAAAATTTAAATTTAAAATGTACTTACCACTTATCTACTTGATTACGTGTAAACCAGCCGTAAGTTTCAATATTGTGGTATGGTGTACCGTGTCCAGTTACGACCCTGAGCGGGACACGTGGTCCAGTGTCGCGTCGATGGGTTCCGCCCGGCTGGGCGTGGGCGTGGCGGTGGTGAACCGGCTGCTGTACGCGGTGGGCGGGTTCGACGGCGCGCGCCGGCTCGCCACCCTCGAGTGCTACCACCCCGAGGACGACCGGTGGAGCGCGCGCGCCAGCATGCACCACGCGCGCAGCGGCGCCGGTCAGTACTGTGTTGTAGTGCCCGCCTGTTGTTGTGTTTCACGTTTAGATGGCGTTGTAGTACTGTCCTGTCCTGTAGTACCCGCCTGTTGTTGTGTTTCACTTCTAGATGGCGTTGTAGTACTGTCCTGTCCTGTAGTACCCGCCTGTTGTTGTGTTTCACGTCTAGATGGCGTTGTAGTACTGTCCTGTAGTACCCGCCTGTTGTTGTGTTTCACGTCTAGATGGCGTTGTAGTACTGTCCTGTAGTACCCGCCTGTTGTTGTGTTTCACGTCTAGATGGCGTTGTAGTATTGTCCTGTAGTACCCGCTTGTTGTTGTGTTTGACATCTAGATGGCGTTCTGGCGGATTACAGTCTTATTCCGTATTTATTTGCTGATGAACAGTGGTCGGAATTAGGTTGAGTTATTCATGTACTTACACTGATTTCATACAGCGAAAGAATAAAGTGGATATGCCTCAAAACCCGAGATTAATTTTAATGAGCAGAAAAAATCCCGTGATTTTTTAAATAACAAGTTATTTACTTTTACACAATTTAAACTACTGCACGCACGGCGTTGCCAAACTTACATCAATGAAAGAAAGAAATAAAGAAATCCCGGGAAGGTCCACATTAATATCAACATTTCGATGCAAGTACATAAATAACTCTACCTAATTCCGACCTCTGCTGATGACACCTCTTTAGTGTTTAAAGTTAAGAGGGGTAACGATTGTTTTGATGATGTAAATGATGCTCTCGATAAAGTTCTACGGTGGTCTGATAATAATAATTTAAAGCTAAATTCAAATAAAATGAAACGCGTAAAGTTTGCATTACCTAATGTGAGGCGTGTTAGTACACATATAAATGTAAATAGTGAAAAAGTTGAGTTGGTGGAATCGACAAAGTTCCTTGGTATTACTAGATTCTCGACTGCAATGGGATCCTCATATTGATAACTTGTCAAGTAGACTGAGTTCTGCAGCATTTGCTGTTAAGATAATTAGACTCTTGACAATGTTGAAACGGCAAGATAGGTATATTTTAGCAGGCTTAGGTGACTGGCGCCCTGGGCAAATGGTCTACTGGCGCCCCCTTTTATTACTATAATGTAAAAGCAAATAATCTATGTTACTTATATTTTATGAAGGAAATAACAAGAAAACACGTCTTTCATACACAAAACTGTAGACATTTATTTCTACATAATTCACACTTCCAGCAACAATACAACTTATAATTATATTTTTAAGGCAATTTGTTTCTCTCATTTATTCTTATTATCTCTTTTATTTTGCGCCCCCAAAAATTTGGCGCCCTGGGCAAATGCCCAGTCTGCCCATTTATAGCCCGGGGCCTGTATTTTAGTTATTTTCATATTGTAATGACGTATGGTCTATTGTAGTGAAGTTCAGCTGCTAGCATTCAAGATATTTTCAATCTACAAAAGAGAGCTGTCCTCGCTATATATAATTTACGGTCTATCGAATCTCTCAGAGAAATATTTAAAGAAATAAATATTTTGACTGTTGCCTCTCAATACATTTATGAAAATATTATGTACGCAAGAAAACATTACGATTCCTTCACAAAAAAGTAGTGTTCATAATCTTAACACAAAAAATAAAATAAACTTACCAGAGGATCATTTCTAGGTAAATGCATTGCTATGTTTAATAAAGTTCCAGAAAACGTAATTGACCTACCGAATATATAAAGAACATACTTATGAGTAAAGGCTATTATAAATTTGATGATAATTTTAAGAACCGCAATGCATGGAATTAATAGCCTTCGCTTTGTTCTATAACGACTTATGTACAAACTATGACCTACAGACGTTGAAAGTTGTGTTTACTATTGTGATAATACATATTATTTTGTTAATGACATGATTTATGTAAATGTCATTACTTATGATAAAGAGCTGGTAAGTTTCTTTCGCTTGTTCTTCTTATCAACTAAAAGACATCCTGAACAAGTGGTAGGGGAAAAAATTTTTTGGACGATTCAAAAGCGCTTGTAATAGCCTACTTGAATAAAGATATTTTCATTTCATTTCATTACATCGCGGTAGTGAAATGTTTTTGAATAGGAATGATTAATTTTGTTTGACTATCCGTCAGGTAGATTAATTAAGAATATTAAATAATTAATCACGTTTTTTTTGTTAGGTTAATATAATTGTGACATAGGAGCCCCTATTCAACTTTAATACCTAATTGTAGGGTAATACACGTCATATTGAAAAATAGCAATTATAAATGCAATACTTATTATTACATATTGTAAAATTACAATTTAAATAAATATTTGAAAAATATAGTTAATTTCCCTTCATACTTGGCCACGTACTTTATGTTGTTTGTTTGTTAATAATTGAAATGAACGCAAGCAAATGTAAAATAAAATAAAAAAGGGGCCCTCTAGGCTTAGCACTAGCATGTTTATTTAATACCTATTATTACCCATGTTTATTTAATACCTATTACTCTTGTTAAATTGAAACAAAAAAGAATAAGTATCTAGTATTTTTATATTATGTACTAAATACGTTTTTTTTTACCCTGACATTTCTATTATATTTGGACGATGTTGCCAATTCTGTTGTACAACTCTCTTAACAAAAAAGTATTATTTGGGTTTTGTTTTGATGTTAGCGTCAGGAAAGAGACGATCAGCTCCTCTTCTAGACCTTTTTAGGAATGCCGCGAATATGCCGATGCAACCTAGAATGTTCTAAGTTTGACCTCTGCCCCTACAAATACAAGGCGAGCTGCCAGTTCGATATGTTATATTATTAGAGAGATAACTAATATGTCTTTTTTTTTGTAGCCTTTCTTCCCGAAAAGACTATCTAAATCTCAACCCAATTGGCAATAATTTTATCCTGGACCTAAAGGCCTACTCTGTTTCATCGAAAACGAAATTTCATCTATTTTCGAAACACTGATGAAATAGAGGTTCCTACCCCTGAAACTGCCTCTGATGCAAAGACAATCTTCACGGATATTGTATCAAAGATATTATAGTAATAGTCGAATTTTCGTTCGTGTACAAACAGAGTAGATCCTCTGAACATAAAACGAAGATCAATAAATATTTTTTGTTTATTTGTGTCCCAGGCGTAGCAGCGTTGAACCAGTACATCTACGTAGTGGGCGGCTACGACGGCACGCAACAACTGGCGTCCGTAGAGCGTTACGACACCGAGCGTGACGTATGGGAGCATGTAGCACCCATCGCTACGGCGCGCTCCGCACTATCTCTCACGGTGCTAGACAACAAGCTCTACGCTCTAGGTATGTAACTCAGTACCATGGCAAAATCCAAACCCGAATTCACTCAGGTGACTGAATTCACTTCAAAAATGGCATCGCTCGCGGCATGCCACTAAACGTTTCGTGGCATAAGTGAAGTGAGTTTCGAAATGACATAGGACTAGAATATCTGAGATACGTAACAAGTTGATTTTGTTTTGTATGTACAAAAAAAATGGAACCAATAGAATTTCTTCTTTAGTTAATTTGGTCACATGAGTGGATTCGAATTGGGGTTCGATTCTAAAGTGTTTTCGTAACAAAATATATTTAACCAGTTTTTGAATCTTACGCATATACCGTATTGTTGCTTTCCCAGGCGGATACGACGGCACATCGTTCCTGGACATAGTGGAGGTGTACGATAAGGCGACGGACACATGGTTCGCGGGCACCCAGCTGCCGTCCGCCCGCTCCGGGCACGCGGCCGCGGTGTGCTACACGCACCTGCCCGCCGCTGACACTGCGCCCCCGCCCGCCGCCCCTTCGCCCGCTCGCCTCGCGCGTCGCTCCGCTGCTGTCAACGCCACCGCCTCAGCCGCCGTGCCCCCCAGACGCCATAGCGACGATATCCCCACCGTCAACAACATCATCGGCACCATCGCTCATAACGCGCGCACGTAACACGCCTGCTCCCGCTGCCCGCGGACTGTCAGTGATGGAAACTGCCAGTGAAAGATAGTGTCAGTGACAAAAATATTTGTGAAAGTGCTTTTGTGGTGAAATTAAAAATCTCAGAAAAATGACCATCCTCGGGTAACTTGAAAAAATGATTTTTTCTGTTTTTGTATATATTATTATATTGATTCCAATGATATCACAAGTTTAACATCCCACCTTAATGGCGAAGTGAGGACTAATATTTTTGCCTGGGTATGGCTAAAAGAAAAGATTGGACCGTGCGGTATGCAAATACATTGAAGAATGAGGAAACGGTAAAAGGTAATAATAAAAGAAACCAAAGTGGCTCATCTTTTTCTCAATTATAATTATTAAAAAAGATTATAATTACAACAACAAATGGAAAATTTATCTCTAATAACTTTGTTAATTTTTTCTATGAAGGGAATTGCGTAAATCCAGTTTTCGGCTGTGAGTTCTGTCTCAGAATTTCCTTAGATACATGATGTGGTTTACTCATTTTGAACTACAGCTTATTTGAATATAATTTCTTTATACAAAACCGTTTGAAAGTTAGTGAATTTGTTGCCCTCGAAATGACACAACCTATTCAACGTTGTAAGCACCAGTGTGCCAATTTTATTCCTATAAAATAAGTAATTGGATTTAGTGCCAAAACTAAAAAAATGGTTATAAATTGGTAAATAATGGAACAACCATATGATGATTTATAATTTGTGAATGTTACGTTACAACCAGATTTGTTATTGTGTGTGTGTTAAAATTGTATTATTAATATTATTATGTAAAGAAGTGGTATAGCCATATATTTACAGATTGATAATTTTAAATAAATATGCTGTGTCCGTGTCAGTCTGATTCAAAACTGTAAAACATAATGAAAGTAATTGCATTTATCATAGCAACAGGTTTATAACTGGTTATCTAATATTCAGATCAATCATTCCTTAGTAACACAGTTAGATGCGCGACGAATTGCGATAATTTCTTAATACATGTTGGCGCTGAAAATTATTTCTTTCCAAAATAATCCATGATGACACTAAGTTAACTTCAATAGTTCAATATGTTTACATTTTTGTTAAATTGTGTTGACACAGAGCGCTATTGGTTCCTTAAAACCGCCATACTTTTCAGGTAATGAACCTGATCAATAAATTCCTTTATGTTTAGTACTGATAGGTTAGATTGAGTGTGAATTTCTGTGTAAATTGAATATGTCAAACACTCTTATAATACTGTAACTGTTTATAAATTAATGTTGGACTTTACCTTTAAATTGTAAGGAATTGGTATTAACGATTAGGTGAATAGGCTTTTCCATCTATGTTTTGACTGAGTTATGGTCATAGTAACTCGGCTCGGTCACAAGCTATGCGGAATACACGTTTCTTACAATTTATTGCAATGCAACTTAAACCTTTATAAGTCTACCTTAAAATCTAAATTAATTGGATACTTGTCATTGTATGATAGCTTGATGAGACGCTGTGTGTATATAATAATGTAGTTTTCAATAGATTTAAATGTTTAAATCATTAGAAATCTTTATATAAGAATTGTCTCTTTATTAATCATTATTATTGTAATGAATATTGTATATAATTTGTTATTTGTAAGGACAACAAAGACTGTTATGGGAATATACTATGACTTTTATTGCCGATCTAATCATATAATGTTAACTGTAAAAGATTAATGTTTTGGTGACTGCATTTATTTTACTATTAGAAATAGGAAGCACTGGTATTACTTGATTACTTGAAAGAATTAAGTAACTACAGGTCCTAAGTAAAAGGGGCTGTTCGAGTATTCCGTAACTTAATTTTCGAAGATTTTTGATCCTCCTCCCTGTATATCGTTAGGTAAACTCAAGTGACTAAACATATTGGTGGTAATAGTGAATCAAAACTATGTTGGGTTACTAGCAGTAAAAAGTTTGTTGGCATTTTTGGCACAGTAGCGCTGGCAAGTCGGCGTAAGAATTTCCATAGATGAGGAACAGCTAGCTGTTTATGCTAATTTTCCTCTCGTGACTACATTGCTGTATCTTTGTTTTTTGTATTCAATAAAAAACCGATGTTCAGTAATGCATTGTATGAAACCCCCCCCCTCCCCCCCCCCGGTCCGTTTAATACATCATAAAGCTTAATAAGACCCCTCTCCCCTGAAATTGTGTTATGTAATACTTGAAAACGTAGTAACAAGAACTGTGTGAAATGCTTGTTATTGAACTATCATTGACACGCCATAATTATGCTATATATATAACATTAGTAGAATTAGCAATTTTGTAGCATATCTGACCCTACTAATTTTAGACCTATATCCGTGCGACCTACGTTTAGTAAGATTTTTGAAAAAATCATACTGGATCAAATACAAACATACTTTCACAAGAATAACCTTATGAATTGACAACAATTTAGTTTTACAAGGGGTCGCTTAACAACCGAGGCCGGTGTCGAGTTAATACAAGAAATTTTTAATGCCTGGGAGGATTCACATGATGCGTTAGGTGTTTTCTACGACCTATCTAAGGCATTTGATTGTGTTTTTCATGAAACATTGATTAGGAAACTTCGTTATTATGGATTTAGAGATAACTCATTGGATTTTATTATCTCATACTTGACTGACAGCCCTTTTTACGTCGCCTTTTTTTTATATCGATTTTTCTAAGATACTAAGGTTTAGTTTAAATTCTCCTATCAATCCTTTTTCTTCGCTAAGATGAATGGATGATTAGAGGGTTGATATCAATGGCAAAACATCACCTGGATCGAAAGTTAAGATGGGTGTTCCGCAGGGCTCAATACTTGGTCCTTTCTTGTTTTTAATTTATATAAATGACTTGCATTATTTCGTAAGGGATGATCACGAAATAGTTTTGTTTGCGGGTGAAACTTAACTTTTGTTTAAAATTAAAAGAGGGCTACCTCTAAATGACGATGTGAACAATTCTATCGCTAAAGTAGTACATTGGTTTAATGTAAAAAATCTTCTCCTTAATGAAGGAAAAACAAAATGCTTAAAATTCGTACTACCAAATGTTAAAAAAAGTAGATATAAACGTTAATATAAAAGATAAGAACATGGGCCTTGTGGATACCACAGTATTTTTAGGAATAACATTAGATTCTAAACTACAGTGGGGCCCACATATTGATAAATTGTCGAGGAGACTTAGCTCTGCAACATATGCCGTAATGAAAATACGTAGTTTAACTGACATAGATACTGCCAGATTAGTAAACTTCAGTTACTTTCATAGTGTAATGTCGTACGGAATCCTATTGTGGGAAAATGCTGCCGACATATAAACAATTTTTGTGCTTCAGAAAAGAACAATTAGATTAATTTGTAATCTTAGGATTAGGGACTCTTTAAGGAAGAAATTTAAGGACATAGACATAATGACTGTTGCTTCTCAATACATATACGAGAACTTTATGTACGTTTGTAAAATATTAGTTTGTTTTCTATAAAAAGTGATGTACACAATTTTAATACAAGAAATAAAAATAAATTAACGGTGCCTGTCACTAGACTGCAAAAAGTTAATAACTCATTCAAGGGTCTTTGTGTGCGCTTCTACGATAAGGTTCCAAGCAAAATACAATTAGATATCATGCAGTTTAAATCTACTATTAAAAAATACTTATTAAAAAAGCTTATTATAAGGTATCCGATTATATAACAGATAAATAAGAACGCTTGGACTTGAGATGATCCAGCAGCTGGATAGGTGATTACTTCTAAACTCATTATATATAAAAAATATCTTATTTCCATTATTATTAAATGATTATGTTATCATTATAAGACCATAGTTTTTTTTTTTGCTCTCTCTATTTATAATGTATTGATCTGGTAATGATATGGTTTTTGTAAATGTCATTACTCCTATTAGCCCTGGTGAGTTTCTTGCTCGTTCTTCTTTCTCGTTCTCGAGTGGTAGGGAAAAAAATGTTGGACGATTCAAAAGTACTTTTAAGAAGTCTATTTGAATAAAGATTATTTTGACTTTGACATTAGGGCCCTGAAGGCACGTTACGTGTTGAACCATTTGTATCGCGAATTACCAAAACAAAATAAGCCCGTGTGGTGTGGCGTCACTAGTGGGGAAAATAACAGGCTGATCAAATAACCATCATGGTACACTTCTAGGCAATGTAATTTTGTGCTTTTTAAAATAGTTGAACTCGTGGCACATGGCCCTGTATAAATACCCAATGATTTTTTATATACTTGCGTTACTTTTAGAAAGTTCCCGTAATCATTTTCTGTTCCCTATTTTAGAGATTATCTCTCGCCGAACTCCTAGTGAAAACTCATAGGAACCCAAATTAATTTATTTTCATTAATTATATTTGCATGTAAAATATGAGCTTTATTGAAAACCTTGAAGGAAAGTTATCTTGCAAGATAAATAAATTTTAAACTTAGCTGCAAAGTGACTCACATATTTAACAATCAACAAGAAATGAAAAACAAATTAATTTTTTACAGATCTACGTTTGAATGTGACAAAACACCTTTTTCATATTTTAATTACATCTTGTTATAGTTATTTTTTGTACAAAACCAGTCCAATCTTTTTTGTGTACGTGCCCTCTAACGGAGACCTAAGCGAGCGTTTTCCATAAATAAATATTGACATGGAATCGTGAATGGAACATTCACTAATCAAGGACAGGTTAGTAAAAAAAAACGCCAGAATCAATTAACAGTGTTTATATTTTGTTTTGAGGTTAATATTACGTGTGCCATGTGGCTTTAGGTACCTTTAGGAAAAAGCACTAAAAAGATTTCTAAAACTTTTTCAACATCCTCAGTTAACATGTACTTTATATAATACAATTAAACAGAACTATTACGGTATATGTACAAGATTTCATTAATATTATGTTAATAAGTGTATTCGACTTCCAATACATCTGCTGAACTAATAGGACAGAAGATGTATCGAAGTCGAAATTAATGATTTGTGCACTACAATTACATAATTATTATATCATGCCTTAATATACAAAAGTTCCAAGTGCAACCAAGATTTAATTGATTAATTTGAATAAAAACATACAAATTAGAGAAGTAATTTAACATTTTACAATTTAGTGTGTACATGTTTGTACAGGAGATCTATATGTACTAGGAAATAAATCCTCTAACTCTCAAGGGTTAACTGAACGAGTCATCGGAAGTTTTACTATAAATTTCTTATATAAAATTAGGTTTCATAAAAATATATACCATAATGGTATTACACACATGACCGAGTAATCTCTTGAAAAGTAATTGTTAGAAGTACAATCTCATCATGGCGATTTGTGAAAAATGTTTAAAATTTACTCTTGGATATTCACTGATACTTAGATATTATTAAAATCGACATAAATGCTAATAAAAAGTAACTTTAGATAGTTTCTTAGAATTTCCTTACACCAAACAAATGTATGCTAGTTTAAATTTACATTTTCCTTATGATAATTAAACAAAATGTATTTATTATATTTCGCTTCTATTATTTCAATACCGTTCTTCATTGATAATCATTGTAAAATACTATATAACAGAAACACGACTGAAATTTCAGTCTATGTTGTGAGTTTACGTAAAATAATGGAAAGTTATTTCACCTCGCTCTTGTTTTCAACCACCTCATTGTATTATGAATTACGATATTCCAGATTTTACAAGGTCATGTGATGAATACCAACCGAATATAGCCCCATTAAGTTAATAATAAGGTTTAATTATAATCTTCTATAATAAATTTACAATAATAGCAATTTATTATTCTCATCTAATATAAACTCAATGTTTTAAAGCTCGCTACGTACACGAACCAGAATGGAAACTAATTCGTGCATAATTGAAAATATTACAAGGAAGAAATCGCGCAAAATGGTATACAAATATTCCATATAACTATAATAATATGGACTTTAAAATACAAATTATTCGATTTGGCACAAATCAATAAGGCTGCATACCAAAATCTTGGAATCAATGATTTAATTAATTAGTGTGATCTTAATAAAGTTAACAATATTTGTACTCATGATTTTGCAGTTAAAAAATGTGTTGCTTACATAGTATTTTCGCTAAATAAAAATATTCACTTACATTAAAGTATTATACAAGGAATTAACAACGATTAACACAAATATTAGCTTTCATTGATACTTGTGAGTATTGCTTTATGCATGATAGATAACATAAAAAAAATCTAAATAAAAAAATTCACATTTTAATATAAGCCTGTATAGATTTTGGAGGCTATTTTAAATCATAAATGCCATAAGAAATATCACATAACTAATAAGAAAAATAATGGCTTTTTTCATTATAAGTAACAGAGCTTAGAATGACACGATATTTAAAAAAAAACTCAACATCAACATTAAAAGTTGTTATTCTGTGTATTGTCAACAATAGTTTATTTTTGGAACCTTAATGTTCCATATCAATTATCAGAAGAAGTGAGTCTGAAAAACGATTGTAAAAACACATGTACCTAATATTGCAAATACTCACAGAATACTATAAATTAACTCGGTTCCACATTAACAGCGTGACGTAAGAACCTTACAAAAAGACGGTATTATTATATTTAAAACGGCTATGGTATAATTAGGGCATAATCCAAAGAAACACAATAGCATTAGCATAAACAATTATCGATTGCTAATCGTCGAGAAATTATTTTTTTAATAAAATATTTAGTATCATATTTATTGGCAAAATCGTCTAGTAGCTTAGTTTTAAAGACCTGGGATTACCATCACGTCTTATAGCAATGCTTAATCCGTGTACAGATTAAGCATTGCTTTAAGACTTCATGGTTAGCCCCTGAACTGATTAAATCGTGAAGTGCATCGATTAAGTAATATTGTACTCTCATAAAATCAACTCCACTCCTATTTAATTTTGTCACTAGATATCAAATTGCATTGTATTATTTACATATAAAAATACATACGAATTCGAATAATCACTAAACAAAGAATTGTAAAAAGTTGTTTTACGAAAATTCAGTGATCTCTTATTAATTTTGTACACCGCGCTTTTACCTTATCATCTGTGTCAATGACTGCAGAAGAGCAATAGAAAAATAAACAGACACATTTTATTAACTATATTGACTATAAAATATATCTCTTACGATACAATATCATAACTTTTTAAAATAAAATATTTGCACAGACAACAGTTATAAACAGTGTTCGGGAAGCAGTGGTCGTGGCGACTCATTAAAATCGATTTTCGATATATATTCTAGTTCGTGGTGCTTTGTCCTACTTTACGACTTTAAAAAGTTAGAACAGGACATATACCGAATGGCGATTTTAAGAGTACAGAGTTACCAAAGTTGTTTGTTGTGTAGTCGCGCGCGAAACCAGTATTTAATATAATATATCGATATCGATCAAAGCATATTCTATTATATAATTTCCCATTTCTGGGAATATTTTTAATTTTTTTCCCATTTCTGGGAAAATTTCTCAAAATATTTTTAAGAGGTATTTTATATTGGAAAAATTCACAAACAAATGTGAAAAATACAAAAAAAAAACATACCACAATAAAGAAAGTCTAGGAAGTTCAAATATTTTTTTTTCTGGTAAATAATTTTTAAAAGTTTAACGGCCTTTAACGCAACTTCAAAGGCGTAGGTCCACTGTAAGTTTTCTGTAGTTATATATTGTACATATTGAAGATCCAATGGTGGTATTAAATACATGTTAGAGACGCGACTACACAACGTAGAGGAAGTGTCATGTCTAACTATATATATATAAAACGCTTACTATCATACAATTTTCCTATTCAACAACAATGGAAGAGTCATCAGAAGCCCTGTGTTTCTACGGAATAATTATTATATATCATGTAAAATTATTTTTGATTTTTCTCAACCAACAAACGTTTAACAACTGGACCATGTTATAGAAAAACTTATCCATTATAAGGCCTCTTTATTACTAGCGCCAAAATTGAAAAAAAAATCTATTAAAATTAATTCAACTGCAGAACAGTTTGAAGTAGATACAACTGACGTGGCTTCTTGGTTCTTTAATTTCTGTTCTTATTGGCTTATCTGCGCTTTTTGCAAAATTTCACGTGCGTGGCCATTACACGGTAGGGATTATTTTACGCAGACTAAATTTCTATGCACGGCAAATGTCGGCCAATCAGAGTCATTCTAGTATCACACCATCGTGTGATCCACCAATATCCACGCGCCTGACCCTCACCTCACAGTGGAGTGTGAGTGACACAGACACCTAATCCTAAAATCTAAAGATTGTATTTATACACCTTATAGTGATTGAAACGAGTACATTCCGTCTTCGTCGGAATTAGTAGATTTGCGATAACGAATATTCATCATGCGCTATATTAGTTTTAACTTATTGTACTGCAAAAGGCTAGAATAAAGCTTTAAATTGATAATATTTTGGCCTTTTATAGAAACTGACGAGTAGTCCACCTCGTATTATAAGCATAATTTATTTGTCTCTTACATTTACAGAGTCCTGAACATTCGCTTTAAATATTATAAGAAAATAATTAACTGAATTTTGGTGCTAGTGTGGAGGTATATAGGTCCCTTACTCAAAACCTTTACTTTCATATTTTCACACAGTCTTTCAATATCTTTCATCAATTAGATAATTTTTTAATGACTTGGAACATTTTCCGCTTAACACGATCCAATTGATATCAGTTAGTATATAAAAAGTAACTATTATAGGACCGCTATATTTCAATACAATATATTTATGTGGCACTAGGAGACCTCGCGGCCGCCGGAACCGCAACAGGCCTGTCCTCACAGAGGAAACATACGGACAACACAAATCAATATACTCTTGAAATTATATTTGTATATAAAAAATAAGAATATATAAAAATAAGTCTTTAAGTAAATTCGAACGGACACAAAATGCATAACTTAATGGAAGATAAATCTAGGAATGCATTTCGAATTGCGTATCCACAATCTAAATTTAACGTTCACCGAATAACGAACTTATAGAAGAAAATTGACTTAAACATATGTATACAGTATACGCAACGGATCGACGCCATCCGTGGCACAGAACATCATTCATACGTAACAAATCGGAGCGTGCGTCACTAACATTACTTTAGTCGTATCGTAAGGTGTAAAAAAGTGGCAGCGTGCGGGCAGCTACGTCTCACCTCGCACCTTAAACGTTGATACCGAGCGATTCATATCTGACGGGGAGGAAATCGGAACGCGGACGAACGAATCCTCGCGTCACATCACCGAAGGCTACCGGGATCCACGGAACGCGGAATCCTTTTTCGTTCCGGACGCGAACGAATCGACGTTCAGGTTTCGAGAGTAAAAAAAATATCTCACCTGAAGAGCGATTCCGTAATAATCCGAACCCAAATTCGAATTAACTCACGTGTCCGAGAAATTGTATTGATTCCATTTTTTGTATAAAAATACAAAACAAGTTTGATTGATTATACAAGACTCAGATATTCCGTCCCTTTCAGTTCGAAACTCACTTCACTTATGCCACGAAACGTTAATACCGATTCAAGGTTAAGCGGATATCGCTTTCGAAGTGGATTCGGACACCTGAGCGAATGGATCTTTATAGAATCGCAGAGCTGATCGTCGATAGCGTTCGCCGCGGACTAGATTCGTCCGTCGCGCTCCTCGACGCCGACGTCAGATCGAATTCTCGGTCGATAGTATAGTCTGTATGGGCGGGTGGAGGCGGGCGGTGCTTCAGGCGGGGGAGTGCGGCCGCTGCGAGAAGAACTGTCATTGCGGCGTGTCCCGCGCCGCGCTCCACCGGTCGAACTCTATACCGGAGTCGGGCGACGCGCCCACCGCGCCCCCCGCGCCCGCGCCCGCCCCCGCCCCCGCGCCGCCGCGGTGCCCGCGCGCCCCCCGCGCCCCGCCCCCGCCCCCGCCACGCGCGCTCTCCGCCCCCACGCCCGAGTCGGGCGCGCGCATCTCACGCACGCCCAGCTCCTCCAGCACCTGCCATCGAACGGAACCGTTGGAATAAAAGTCGCCGCTCGCGCGCAGCTTTTCGCTCTGTACGCTCCGCCTTCGGTGCGCCGTCTTTTAAACGTTTATTTTCCGAGGAACAGCAAAAACGTTGTTAAAAACAATAGCATCGCGAACGATTTGGTTTATAAAGTCTATATCTATCTATCATAGTTCCGAGAGAAAAAGGCTCGGTTTTCTAAATCGATATTCAAAATTCTCCGTAATATTGTTGAATTTAAAAACGTTACAGTAACTATCAAACACTAACCGAAAAGTGTCATCTAAAGCAGGGATTCCCATAACGGTTGATCGACTTCCGTGTAAAAATATTTGAAACAAGAACTATATGAATAGTACATCAATACCATGTACAAATCTTTAGAAGGTATGCCCTTATATTTTACATTACTTGTAATAATAATTGTTACTGTAATTAATTTTATGTCTAAAAACGAAACAATCGCTCAATCTCAAGGAAAAACGTCAAGTTCTTCAACTCACTTTGCAAGCCACAATGAGAAAAATGGTACTATGGCTTCTTTATTAATGAAATGCAGCTATGGGTGTCTGAGGCATCAATTCCTTTTTGTCAAATAAAACAGATTGGGAATCCCTGACTCAAGAGACACAAATAGAATAACGACAACAACTCAATATTCCGGTGACGAAGCGTACTAGAGTGGGCCCTGGTGTAGTAAGAGTGCAGACCTTACTCAGGCTGGCGGAGTGCTCGTGCAGGCCGAGGTCGCGCTCGAACGAGTGCAGCTGCCGCATGAAGTGGAAGTTGGGCGCGATGTCGGTCTTGCGGCTGCGGACCAGTTCGAACGCGTCCCTCAAGCTGAGTCGGTGCCGCTGCATCAGGTACGCGAGCGTCACCGTCACCGAGCGGGACACGCCCGCCACGCAGTGCACCAGAACACCGCACCTAGCTGACATCGCCTCCTCTACAAACGTTACAATAACACCTCCACTTATAGATAATCCTCCGGATAACCCAGTGGGCCAAATAATAAATAAAAGTTTGCATCACGAGTAAATGTACACTAAAATTGCAATTTTATTATTAGTCCAAATTCATATTATACACAGAATAAGCACACGAGAAGGTAATATACCTTCTAGGAGTAAATATTACTACTCCCTTAGAACCTCGTACTAGGTTAATCTTTGCTAAGTCTCTCTTTGGTAATATGAATTTTGACTAATACTAATTGGAGTCTTAGAGTAAATTTACTCCAAAACCTAAACCTTGGTTATTAATAGCAGTGCTAAAGTTTATGATTTATACTTAGCCATATAAGATATGTTTTTCTACATTATTTTTAGATATATTTCATGTATATTTTATTGGATTACATTGGACTATCTTCAGGTAGTTTGTACAACGGCAAAATTCAAGTAGCTGAGATTCTATTGAGATGCAATTATTACGTAACCATAACATAATTAGCCTACAGATAATTTTATAAAGAAATCACCGGAGACACTGTCACAGAGGTATATGAAGTAATAGGGGTGTAGACAACTTTTTTATTTGTATTATTTTATAGATGCACATGAATTATATCTGAAGTTTTAAAAAATATCATTTATAAATTAAAATCCAAAATTTAATTTAATTTTCAAAATTTCCCGCGCAAACGCCACTTCTGTCATGGCGTCGCTATAAAGGTAAATCTAGTAATCGAATACCCATTAGCTTATTTACCCGAACAAAAATTTACTATCATCACCAAGCTCTCCTTCTTCTGAAGACACGTTGGTCCCGGCTGCATTTGTAGCCGTCAACACTTCTAACTGCACTGGTTTCTCGTAATGGATTATAAACCAGTTGTTTGTATGAGCCGTAGGAGTACACTCTATCAGTAGGAACATTATTGCGGTGGCGGTGTAAATTAATTAATTTATACTGACCAATGAATCGTATGGCTTGCGGGAAGTGAACGGCCAGGTTCTGACTCCAGTGGTCGGCGATGGGTATCTTCAGGTAGTTGATGCCGCAACCCTCAGCCTCAAAAGTGTTCGGCAGGTCGGGCGTCACGTTCAGCACGTACTGGAAACAAGAGCATTACATGAGATTGGAGATATTATTATAATTCAGAAATAAAAATTAATAAATTCAAGAAATTTTGAAATTATTACATGTAAGTTTATCATTCTTTACAATCTAATCAAATGCTATTAAAGATATAAAGTAGGAAACAAAAATTAATTAAATTAGATAAACTTGCATATCGTTATAATTAAGAATAATTAATCTTTAAATTATAATTAAAGTTTCCGCTCTACATGAAAAATACATATTTTTGTACGCGTCGCAATTCCCGATAGGTTCGATATTTGTGTATCTGGCTGAGATACACAAATATCGAATTAAAAAATTAATCACTGTACTTCATTTTGATTGTAATGTGTTGTGATAAAATCGTAGCATTGAAATGTCTGGGCGTTCTAAAAGATCAAAATCTTAACCAACATTTTCATATTCATATCTGCAGCCTGAATCATCGTCTAGCAGGTTGCAAAACCAGATTTAGGTTTTTAAACAACATCGTAGTAAAACATAAACTTAAAAGACCATCTTTCACCAAATTTATTCTCGATATAAAAATATCTTCAAATTTATTTCGAGCAGCGTGTATATTTTTATTCACAGATATATAATGAATTCACGGAAATGACGCAAGATAGGTTCCATGTAATTCAGACAGCGGGTCGCGCGCACATTTCTTGGAACACGCGTCACCTCGCCCCATACGTGATTCATATTCTTTGAAACATTCTGGTTCTAAAGTTGTCTACAGTGTCACGATCATATTTCATCATACTGACCACTCCTTCGTACTTCGACTAAGAGCATTTTTTAACAACACAAATGTTAATTCATAGTCAATCTGCTTGATCACATACATGAATTACGAAAATTCCTACAGTAAATCCTATCCCACTTTATGTTGGATCCATTGCGAGGTAGGCAGAAAAGAACGAGGGCCACAAGGCAAGATTCTCGACGTTCATAACTCATTTCATTAACATTCGCCGGTTTTTATATCTTCTGACATGACATCATCTTCACTCTCAATCGGTCACTTTCATTCTACACCCTTCCACTTTCGCGGTGTATACCAGTTTTCCACATGACCTAAACACCGGAGCATGCTTCTGTTAATTTCTACATCGACACTATCTTTCAAGTCAACTCTTTCTTGTCCTGTCATTACAGAAGTGAGCGCATCTCGACAAATTCTGTGTAGCGATCGCATCTGGACTAGACTCACTATATCCTCATCTGTCATTTTCAGACTTATTACATGAAACTACGTTATAACAATATATATATATATATATTCTTGTAATCCTTGTCCAAAGTGTAAAAGGCCCAATATAAAGTTTAAATAAATCAATTGTTTTTAGTTTTAGAGACAAAACCATTCAGAAGATAAGTTACTATAGAGTATTGAAATTCACACTTAACTGTATTGTATGTAACAATACAGTACCCATTGCATGTTGAGTCAAACAGATGGAAAGGAAATCGACTAATTGTAGCAACGCGGTAGACCCTGAGAGTAACGACGGTAGATTTTGTAATTTTCTTTTTTCAATATAGATGGTTATACAGCAGATACTTATAATAACTATGTACAATAAGTAGCATTTTAATTTGGTTATACCTTAATGTTATGCCTGGCGAGCGCGTCGCAGTCCTCGCTGTTGGTCGAGTTGCCGAGGTAAAGGTTGGGCAGGATCTCTATGGGGAACTCCTGCGGCACGTGCGCGTGAGACTCGTCACATTCAGACGACGAGCCCGACGAGAGCGCCTCCTCGCAACCCGATCCGGAGATACGAAGCGACCTGACACAATACAACAAACAAACAAGATTAGAGACAAAATATATTCTCCTCGTACGAATAAACATGACATCTGAAGGTCTATTCTCTTTCTTAGAAAGCAAAAGTATTTTTAAAATTAGTACTCGTTTCTGTCTAGTTACAGAGTATATTTATTTTATATCTACAACAAGCAAAAACTTAAATCATGGAAGTCTTACAATAAGGTTATACACGATGAAAAAGTGGCCCACGCGAAATAAAAAAGGTACAATAGCTGTTTGTCAATAATTCTTTTAGACTTAATCAGCCGAGGCATGCTCTATAGGTACTTGATCTAAAACAAGTCGGTGTATAATATAAGAAAATGGCATGAACGAAAGATACTGGTAGATCCTTTATTTAATTACCAATGGTCAAGTATCCATTCCCAAAATCGTTTTTAGGAAAATCAATATTTTATAGAATCTTCGACATCGACAAAATAATTATGTACACACGGCAGCACGTCAAATTACCTCAACATTCCAAATTTCCGCTATCGTTTTTAAATTAAGATTACAATAAAGTGATATATAAGTTATTATAATTACAAAATTTGCTCATCTTTCAACGCCCACGGTGTTAATGTGATGAGTACTCACGATACGCGCGAGTGCAGGTTTATATTACAAAACGATCGCAATATAAAAAAGTACCTATTATATTCTGAGTTGTAGTGTTTTCCACTCAATAAACATAACTTTCGACACACTTTATTGACGTAGAAATATTATTATATGATCTCATGAATATATTAATAATATGAACATCGTCATCAGCCTCTTATTGTTGCAGTGGGAAAAAGCCTTAAAATTGAATCTAAATAGGGAGAACCGTGTCTAGTGCGATATGTGGATAACGAGTGCCGACGCAGCTGGTACCAACGGCTTAAAGTGACTTTCGAAATACAGAGGAACTTGGGATTTATATTTTTAATTCCGAAAGATAATCGCCTCGGTACCAGTTACTGCTATCAAAATCGACACTTTTTTATTATTAATAAGAGCAATCTTTTCTAATCAAACTAAACGTAGTTTAGGAGAGGTCATATGGTCTAATAAAGTGGTGTAGATTTGCATTATCGAAACCCACATGCCTCAGTCTCGTTCCACTTCGTAGAGCCATCCCAGCTCACGATTTATCGCCGTCCTTGTCTTCACGCTTGTGGTTCCATTCATATTCGTAAGATACTTTTCGAGAGAGCTCAACTTAAATTCTAATTTATGTTAATGTCAAAAAAATCTAGATTACCTACAGTATAACAGTTGAGGTAAAAAAAAAAAATCGTGAGTTAAAATAGTATACTGGGGATTATAACAATTATACTCAAGGTTTAGAGGAATCATCAATCTAATGAACCATCGATCGTTTATCATCGTGATCGCGAAGATTACAAAACAAGGTCCTGGGTAGCTCAATGGTTAGATCAGTCGCCCCGGATTGCGAAAGGTTGTGGGTTCGTGTTTCGTCTCAGAGTACCTGGGGCAAGTAACTTTTTAAGCATTTCTTACTAAGAATAAAAAAGGATATTTTTGAAATCTCCCAACATGTCACGACGTAACACGGCTTGTGCCAAATGGAGAGCAATAGTAAAATGTGAATATAAAGCCACATTTGATTCCTTTAAACTATTCAGATGAAATATAATAAAGCCATTGTAAGATTGAATCGTTCAATGCTCAGCTAAAGAGCTTTCAGGTTCGGGGCTCAATGCCGGAGCTTGGGCGTGGGGGGAGCGATCGATCGCGGCTCCTCAATGGGAGGGGAGGGGGCGCACCATTCACCTGCCCCCGCCTCAATGGCCGCCCACACAGCGTCCTTACTCACTTTACACCCTTACACCCCCCGCTCGCCGACCCTGACCAACTCGTCTCCTCCCACGCGACAATTTTCCAAATTCGCCCTCTCAATCGTCTCGCCGCCATTCAGCTTGGTGTTTTGAAAGTAATCAAATTAGGAGCGCTCCTGTCAAGTCGCCATCGCCAACGTGTTTATAAGTCGGCGCTCACGCCACCGACCGTCGACAGGGAACTACGCTTGACCAAGTTTTCTCGACTTCGCAACATTTCACCTTGCGGCTTTATTTGACGTGTGCACTACACGAGTAAATTCAGGCAAATGTTGAGAAAGCCGTGTTATTTTTAAATGGTTTCATTATATCGATAGTAAAAATTTCATGGTTTGAAGATAATTGCTTCTTTTCCGTGTGCATGCGCGAAAATAAAAGCAAGGTACTTATGAATCGATCGGCGTCTCTCCTCGGTCTGTCTGAACATAATAAAATTCAAAAAAATCTCATCGGATTTTTATACAGTTTTCACGAATTAACCGCACCTTATATGTGAATTGGCTGAAGCGTGACAATGATTTTCAAGATATCCGAAAAATCGTACTGATGAGGTTCCTAATAGGTAACCTTCAAATACTATACGAGTAATACATAATAACAAGTGTATTGTTGAGAAGGTGCACTACATCGAAAGTCTGTTTTAGAGGATTATGACGGGCTGTCAGTTGAACAGAAAACGTAAAAATCAGCACCGTTTAAGTTTGGATTCAAAGTAACATATTTAATTTGCTCAATATTTCTGACAATGACTTAAATAGACAACCGAAGTCTTTGGTTTTTACCACATAATGAATAGCACATTTTAATGCGCAATACCAATAGTGACTTTCGATGACGCCAATATAGAAATCATCATCATCTATCCCCGTGTAAAACATGAGTGCAGGCAATTGAGTTTTGTTGCTAAGCACTCATCACTATCGATATGTTATGCCTCTATAATATAACTACAAAATGCTGTTCAATTTTGATAAGAGAAAAAATCTTGCAATGATCTAGTAAGTAGGTTCCTACTCTGTTAGATAATAAATAACTATTCAGAATGGTAAACTTAACTTCTAGCCTTTCAATTTCCCATATTGAACACATTGTTTTCATTATTAGTTTAGATTTGTCATAAGCTGAGACGGACCTAATCAGGTTCGCAAAGATTTCTTCAGTCAACTATAGTGTTAACTAGTAGTTCATTAAGTTAATTGGATCAATATCGGCGGATGGTCATCTAGATAAATGTTTCGCTGGCAGGGTGTGGGCCGCAGGTATGAGCTGTGTGGTACGGCGGGCGGAGCGGCGCGGTACACTGTGGGCAGAGACGCGTGGGCGACCATCCGACACGGCCATTCAGGGAGCTCGCCTACGCACTACGCCATTCCCATCTGATAATGCCATTAACTCTTATTTATTTAGTTCGATTTTCAAAGCACACATAGGTGAGCTCATTCCGTTACGCAAGGTACGTTCGCTCACACGTCGCCCGTATTAGTTCATCGGCACCGCTCGATGTCACATCATGACTGTGACGATACCCCATTCATAAGAATGTCGGTGTGCAACGAAAGCGATCTACTTACATATATGATAAGCGACACACTATGCGACGTAGACTTCGTGCGATTCCAACTGATATTTGAATGGCGAATAACCCGATCGGCATCTACCGGAAGCCGTGACACGGTCGTTCGCGTTATTAATGAAAGACCAGTGCGTATATATGGTGGCTGACGCTTAGGTGGCCGATTTGTGAAGACACTGGGTGTGGCCGTTAACATATGGTATTAAAGGTCTGCGTCAGGCGGACGGGTCGCGCTCGCGGTGCGTGTGGGCGTCGAGTGCGTGCCGGCCATGCGCCCGCGCACAGGAATGCAGCCCGTCCCACCCGCTGCCAATGACCGCCATGGACGGCTTTTTTAATGCCCGACTCGTTAGTTCCCATCCTGGCAGGACATTTAACGACCCGAGTTGCATGAACAAAGGAAACTTTATTTACATCATGTCTCACCTTTTGATGGCTGTGTTTCTCCTTATTAATTAAACTTTATGTAAGTAACGAGGCACGTTTATTGTATGTTAGCAAGTGTGTCGAGGTCGGAGACTGTAGTACATGCCTTCGCACGTATATGGGATAATATTACTAGGCGTTCTATTTCGAGGCTCGAGCCACCGAGTGGCGGCTAAATCTCAAGTTCTCAGTTACATTACATATGCCAAGGACTTATTATGTTTCGAGTAAATTTAACTTAAATATGTCTTCGTTGAAATAATATAATGCTACCATAATAATCAAAACTAGTTTTAACAGTCTTTTTCTTCTTTTCGAAGATCAAGTGCTCAATATGTATTTCTTCAATTTCATATTTTTATAGAAAATTTATAATACGAAGTCAAATGTGAGCCGGATTCGCTGTTTAACGATTTTATAGCAAGCATAGATTATTTTATTTAAAAACTTTGTTTCTATAAATGACAAGTTATACTGCGATTTATTGAATGTGCTATATCTCAAAAACTGCTGACTATACCTGGTTCAAGCCAATATACGTTGAAAATTTTATTTTTCCCTATATTTTTCTAAAGGTAGGTTTGACATTCACAACTAATTGTTACAGCCTATTCTGATTATATTAATTTGATTTTGAGTTTAGGAAGAAGGACTCTCCTCAAGTCATTTTATGACTTTGGAAGACTATCTTTGAAACCGCCTTGAGAATAAAAAAATAATACCTCAATGTAATTTTTCAAGACCTGTCTGGTACCGGTGGTAGACAAGACGTAAGAGTTTGAAGTTTTTTTATTTTATTTTATTTTCATTTAAATGCAAGGGGAGGATGACCTACCTAAAACCATAATGAATTTGTGTAAAAATAAATCAACAGTTCACAGAATGCATATACCTATCATGTTACGAAACCGACTAGTCGTAATAGTTTCGGAATACTGGCTGTGACATACCGAGTGACAGACAGACAGTTTTTCGTCTATTTAGCTACAGAACACTAAGAACAGTTAAAGTTGGATTGCTATATTTAAAATGTTTTTAGACGTAATCTTTAGTTTCAGATTTCTAGCTCTGCATATAAGTATGCAGCAGTTATTATTTATTAGATATAAAATTGTATACTTTATACTCGTATTC